CAACCATAGATAACCAGCCGTCCTCGTCACGTAGGAACCATGTTATCACCTTTAGATGGCCAGAACTCTTCATCACGTATGAGCCGTGTCATCCCCAGACCAGATCTCCTCATCACGTAGGAGCCGTGTCACTTTTAGACGACCCAAACTCTTCATCACGTATGAGCAGTGTCATCCCCAACAACCAATATTATCCAATTTCTATGTATAAATGGAAGAGAACCAGACAAAAACGTGTTGTCTTATCATCTTTGCCCTATTCTTATTAACACAAGAATGTGCAAAGAGGGGCAGCTGTAGACACCCGTTTTTGTCCGGGTTTTTTATCGTTATTTTATTATTATTATTATTTTTTATTATTATGTTTATTAATTACATATTACAATTTTTGCAGGCCAAAGCCCAATATAATGCAAGCCCACTATCAGCTAACCCATTACATCAAGCCCACTGTTGACCCAGACAACCCAACCCATCAGATTAGGGTTTCAAACCCTAAAACAGATTAGGGTTTCAAACCCTAAATGTTCCAGCCGCCTCATTTCTGGCCGTTGGATCTGGACCCATCCAACGGTCCAGATCACGCAGAGCTTAGGGTTTGAAACCCTAAAATAGCTCCAGCCGCCGCTTGACGTTCCAGCTTCTCAGCCGAGCGTCCCCTCGCCGACAGCCTCTGACGCCGACTGCCTGCATCCACAGTGACCGAAGGTCCCTCCATCAATCTATTAACAGTGAAGAACAGCAAAACCAATCAAAAAATATATATATCATCAACAGTGAACCCATTTAAAAACAAATTAAATCCCGAAAGTTCAGGATTTCACCAGCTACCAAATCAACCCATAATTCCCCTAAGTTCTAGACATCATCATTCAGCAACCACAACAAAAAGAAGGGATACATGCAATGAAGAGGGAGTCATTCGGGTGGTGAAAAAAAAAGAGGAAAGAATCGGTTTGAAGAAAAATCAAAACCTATTCGAAACTACAACAAAAATGAAATAAAAATAGAGAGAGAGGTATCTCACCGTGGTTTGAGGCCGTGGAAGCTTGAAGGTCACCGTGCTTTTTGTTTCCTTCGAAGGTAACTACCTAGATCTAGGGATTTAGGGTTGGTTTTAGGTCGAGTAAGGCGTTTTTTCTAGTATAGGGAGAGGAGATGATCATTTTGGGGGTCACTTTGACTCCCTCCGGTCACCGGCGCCGCCGTGCGCTGCCGCTCGCCACCGCGAGCTCCGCCATGTTTCCCCTCCCCGGCGAGGAGGGGTTGAGAGATTTCTAATCTCTCCCTTCTCTGTTTTGGCTGAATAGAGAGGCAAATGAGGGAGATGAGGGTTGAAGCCTCGTTTTGGGCTTAAGTACGCGGGCCAGAACGGTGCCGTTTTGGCACTGTTCAAAACGACGTCGTTTAGAGGGGCCAGGGTGCGTGTTATCAGCGTGTGGATTAACTACACGTTTAGTCCCCCGCGCTTTGTAATATAATTATTAAGCCATATAATGAAGTTATATATTATTTGATTTCGAGCCTTTATTTTTCCTTCCTTACATTTTAGTCCTGCTATTACTTGTTATGCTATTCTGGTTATATGTGACTTTGGTCCCAATATTTATAATTATTTCAATTTAGTCACGGGTTTTGTGTGTTGCTTATTTTTGTGAACGTTCGAATTTGGATATGATATTTATGTATCTTACATTTTAGTCACTATCCTAGGTATTATAACATTTTTTGGTTTATATTTGGTTCTGGTTTCAATATTTATAAATGTTACATCTTAGCCACTGATTTAATATTTCATGTATGTTTCTTTGATATTCGAATCTGGCCATCCCATTTTTAAATATTTTATTTTAGTCCTATTAATGTATGTTATGTCATTTTTGTGAATATTTGACTTTTGGACATTATGTTTGTAATAGTTTCATTCTAGTCCTAAGTTCTTGTGTTGTGACATTTTGTGGATGTTTGAATTCAGCCATCATATTGGCAAATGTTCTATTTTGGTCACTATCTGACATTTTATTTAATTACTTTTTGATCCTCCATGTTTCTGTGAAATTTCAATTTAGTCATAAGCTTTACTTTTGGGTTATTTTCACTTCTAGTATTTGACTGTTTAATGTTTGTGATATAGGCTCTAAATTATTTTATTTTATATTTAGTCCTTTAAATTTCGGTTAGTGCTATTTTGGTCCATTAACTTTCTGTTTTTTTGCTGTTTAGCCTCCTAAGTTTCTGTTTATATTATTTTAGCCCCTTAAATGTTTTATATTTATTTTGGTTTGTAATATTTACTAATTTATTTTTAGACATTTATGTATGGATGTGTATTTTACTCATTAGTTAATTATTTGGATTATGTAAATAATGTTTTCAATTTCATTTAATGTAAATATTTTATTTTGTATTTCCAATTACATTTATTTTCATTATATCTTTATCTATGTAAGAAATATTCGATTATATTTTCAAGAACACGTATGCGTAGAATGGGCGTGGAAAGTACCACTTGGTCGAAGTGGTACGATCCGATACGGCATTTTAACGACATAGGAACTTGCAACAAGTCGAGTATATTTTACTAATTAATTTATTCAAACGATGCAATGTGTGTTATTTTAAATGACAATTTACTTTATTTTATGTGAATGTAAATTTCAAAATTTTTAATTTGTATTCAATTCACGTTTTCAGTTAATCAATTTATTCGTATGTAAACATTGTTTTTAATTATACTCGATTTGTATTTTTAACATAATCAATGGTAGAATATTCTTTTACGAGTGAGAAATAGTTCGAGTTAGTTTTCCCGATGGAGGATTGCTAATTTCAAGATTTCCTTTCGAGTTAAAGAATTTTCTCTAATTAAATAATTCGAAGCAAATTAATTAATGTTCGATAAATGGATCATAAATTAACTTTATATTCGATTTGTAATTTCCACCATTATGACAATGTGTAAGCGACACAGTACCAATTTTGGGCGCTGTGGGGTGCTAATCCTTCCCCACGCGTAACCGACTTCCGAATCCATTTAAATGAATCTTTGGTAACGCATACCGAATTTTGTCTAAAAAAATGATTTTTTCTTAAAATTGTTTTAAAAGACGTTTTTAGGTATTCGACCTACCTAACCCAAAGGTCGATGGCGACTCCATTTTTAATTTAATTCAAATCAATTCAAAATCACTCATTTTTTTCAATTTAAAGTCATAATTGTTTTTAAAAATAATATTTAATTGTTTTACAAAAAAAAATGGTTATGACATAACTATTTACCCCTTTTACTTCAACCATTGATTTTTCAATTTTATCAATCAAGTCATATAACTATTTAAATATTGTCAATCAAGCCGCATGCCGTTAAATACTAACGAAGGCGATGACGTGGTAGCTAATAAAATTTGTATAATTACACATTTTATCCTCATTACTTACACATTCTATTAATTTGATCATAACTTTTAATTAATTTATTAAAATTAATTAAATTATATTTGTAAAATATTCGTGCTCGTCAAACGTGACGGCATCATCCTAAAATATATAAGAACTTTAAGTTTTCGAACATAAATCCCGCCACCTCGGTCCATCCATGTGTGGGAATAAAATTTTGGGGAGGATAGGTTTTGAACTTCAATGCTCCATACACTGAGATATGTTCTTCAAATGGAATTAATGAAACCGTGGGTCAAAGGCTGGCTATCTTTTAGGTTTGATATACAATTTTAACCCTTAAAATATAAAAATTTTAAACATTTATTTTTTTTATCCCATTCTAATACATAAAGTATTATTCTGTCAAAAATTTTACTTCTAACTTCTAACGATGTTAGGAAAAAAAATTAAGCCAATTATAATGTATCAGGGTGGTATTATTTTATAAATATCTATACATATTTACTTAAATTATAATAGAATAAAATTTAATTAAAAACAAAGAAATTTATAAAAATAAATAAATAAAATAAAAACCGAACAATTTCTAGAAAAGGACTTATTGGATTTGTGAATTATAAATAAGGAGAGAAACACAAGGGGCTGGCATCAAGCCCCACCTTAATTTTCTTGGGGACTGGCCTTTTCTATTTTCTCCACCTGAAGCTAGCCATTCTCGGGCCAATGTTTTTACTAAATTAGTAATTGTTTTCACTTCTTCCATTAATTTCTTTAATCAATTAAAAAATATATTTAATTAAAAACAAAAAAGCAGCACTATGTTCTTACGAAACCAAAATTCTGAGATCACCATCAACGACAGCTTGTATCTGTAAAACCAATTAAAAGATCATAAATAAAGGTAATGTCCCTTTTTAATACCCTCTTTCCATATTAAATGTTTTCATTAAAAAAGCATCTGTTATTTATTGTTGATTATACTTACGAATTTGTCATAAGTTATGTAATTGCATTTGGATCCATGTCTGGGTTATTAGTAATACTTAGTCTTAGTAATTCAGATTCTGTCATCTCTTTGTTTGATTTTTGTGCTATTAATATGATCACATTTTTCCATAACAATACCGTGAACATTGTGTGGGAGTGTGTTGTTCCCTCTTTTCTTTAGATTCCCTTGCTGCAATAATTTACTTATACATGGTGTGGAGTGTGATCTAATTTTCAGTTGATCCAATTTGAAAAGTGTATGATGCAACTTGTTTGATATGGATCTTATTGCACACGTAGAATCTGTACATAAGTATATTTTTACTATTGAAGTCTAGAGTAAAAAACCTAATTTGATTAGATTTTGTATGCCAAATAAATAGATATTAGAAATTAGGATTAGAAATTAGTTCATTTGAGTTTGATTAGACGCAAATCCTCCAATAGCTTCTTACATTTTCGACATTAGTGAAATTTCTCCTCTTCTACTCGTGATCTTTCCTGTTGACAGATTTTCACGTGCAATCTTGTTATGTTTTTTTATTTTATGATCATTTATACTCGACATTATCCATATCATACTCATTTGATGCTGCTAATTATGTTTCAGGTTAGATATAATATTTTTGGCCTCCAGCTTAAGACTTAGAAGGACAAAATCATTATGTTTAAAGCTTCACAATGAGTCTAGCGGTTTCCATGAGAAATGTAGACCCAGCTTTCCAAGGAGCTGGGCAGAAAGCGTATCCTTCTCTTCAGAAACTTACGGCATTTCATGTATCAAATCATTAAATTTGAAGAAGTTAGCAAGTATCACAAGTACTGTCGTTTAAATCTTGTTGTGTGCCAGGTTTTGAATGAGTTGTTTTCCTTAACACAGTATGCAGTGGGCTTGAAATCTGGTGCATTGAAAAATCATGCCCTGTTTCCCTTCCAACATCATCATATGGAAAGTTTTTCACTGGTGACTCCTATATTATTTTGAAGGCAAGTATCAAATTGGTTTTTTTACATGTTGCAGATACTCGTTTTTTGTTATTATTCCGTGCAGGATAACTCCTCAGTCAAGAACTACTTAGCTTTGCTAAGGAGTATTGTTATGGACCGATCTGCATGGAATTGTATTTCCAGAAAAGTTAATAACCAAAAACGAGTATCTGCACATGTCACACGATTATTTGGGGGACAGAATTCGGATGATGCAGTAGTTTCATTTCCAGTTATAGTGTCCAAGATGCATTATCATCTGTAATACTACTATTGTTGGTGCAGACATTTGCCTCGAAAACCGGCGTTTTACGTCATGAAATCCACTACTGGCTTGGTAAAGATACATCCCAGGTAAACATTGTTGCCAAAAATCTTGATTTCTTGTTCAACTCTTAGCATTTTCAGCAAGTAATAGATTGGATTTGAGCTAAAGAAAAAAGCTTTAGACCAATTTCTTGACCTGAGTCGTTTAACATAGGATGAAGCAGGTGCTGCTGCAGTCAAAACTATTGAACTTGATGCTGCTCTTGGGGGGCGTGCACTTCAATATCGTGAAGTGCAGGGGAATGAGTCCGATAAGTTTCTTTCTCTTTTCAAGCCATGTATCATGCCCCAGGAAGGTGGAATTGCAACTGGATTCAAACATGTTGAGGAAAGTGAATATAAGACACGTTTGCTTGTTTGCAAAGGGAAACATATTGTCCGTATAAACGAGGCGAGTCTTTAGATCTCATTGATCTTTTAAGGACTGATGATTATCGTTTGGGGATGTGATTTAACTGAAGTTATTGACATGTATTGTGGCAGGTTCCTTTTGCTCGATCCACACTCAACCATGATAACATCTTTATACTGGATACCAAGCCCAAAATCTTTCAATTTAATGGTTCCAATACGTCCATTCAAGAGAGAGCAAAAGCACTAGGAGTTGCCCAATACATTAGAGATAATTACCATGATGGGAAATGCGAAATAGCTTCCATTGGTGAGTAAAGTAAACGAACCGATTGGATCACTAAAAACGAGAAGGATAAGATGAACGAAGTGAGAAGTGGTTATTTGTTTTTGAATAATGATTTCATTCTAATTTCTCTATGCAGAGGATGGAAAGTTGATGGCTGATGCTGCCAGTGGAGAATTTTGGGCATTATTTGGTGGCTATGCTCCACTTCTTAGGAAGAGTGCTCGTGATGAAGACACGACTACCGATTCTCTTCCAACCAAAAAGCTACTAAGGTAAATATACTGTGTGTGTGTGTGTATTTTTGGAACTATCGTTAGTAAATCGAAAAAAGTTCTCATTAGATTATGTTTGATTGTCAAGTGTCGAGAAGGGGAAGGCAGAGCCTGTTGAGGCTGATTTCCTAAAAAGAGAATTGTTAGCCACAGATAAATGCTATATTTTGGATTGTGGGCTAGAAGTCTATGTATGGATGGGAAGAAGTACTTCTCTAGATGAAAGAAAGACTGCAAGTAAAGCAGCTGAGGTAATACCAAGTTCTTTCTGGTGTGGTTTGGACCTAACTTTTATTTGAATTTATCATTCACTTCTTTTAAATTGCTCATGAAATTAAATAGGAGTTGATCCAAGGTTCCAATCGATCGAAATCCCACTTAATTCGTGTAATTGAGGGCTTTGAGACTGTTATATTTCGGTCAAAGTTCGACTCCTGGCCCCAGACCACTAATGCTACTGTTACCGAGGATGGTAGAGGCAAAGTTGCTGGTTAGTGATTGAAATATCGTTTCAATGTTGCTATGTTTGCAGTATGAATTTTCCTTGAGATTTTTTTTTACCATTTTTACTATCAAGCAATCACTTGAAAATGTGCCATTAATATATCAATAATGGTTTTTGTAGCTCTTTTACAACGCCAGGGGTTGAATGTCAAGGGTCTTCTAAAAGTTGATCCTGTGAAAGAAGAACCCGAAGAACATATTGATTGCACCGGACAGTTGCAGGTATATTAAAGGAACTGAACTTGAAGTGTAATCAATGTTGAAGGGTATATGGCTTGAGGAAAACTACATTTGCAGACACATCTCTCTCTATGTATGTGTGTGCATTATATGCTAACTCTGATTGGATCGAGTAGCGGTGAAGCTCTTCTCTCCATGCTGTGGGCATAATCTATGCAGCAGATTGACCTTGAGTTTACTCCAGTTTCCTGATGATAACATTGACTTGGCTACACAGGTTTGGCGTGTGAATGGCGAGGACAAAGTTCTCCTTTCAGCTGAAAATCAGTCAAAATTTTACAGCGGGGACTGTTATATTTTTCAATATTCTTATTCTGGAGACGACAAAGAAGAGCATCTTATAGGAACATGGTTCGGGAAGCAGAGCATTGAGGTGATTAACGATTCTTCGACAGTTTTTTTTTTTTTTTTGCTTTCGATTCACGTAATTGTTGATTGCCATAATGCTTTCATCTGTACCGTCTTCAAGAAATAGCTTTGGCAATGTTAGAATACTGCATTAGAGATCACCATTCTGTTTCTGCTTGTTTGGTTTAGTTCTTATTTCATTGATTATGTTTCTTTTTGTTTAATGACAGAAAGAAAGAGCTTCTGCCATTTCTATGGCAAACAAAATGGTTGAATCGATGAAGTTCATGGTTGCCCAAGTAGTTTTATTTTATCTAGAGCACTACTTTCCTTTTTTTTTTTGAACATGTCGTTTCCATTCCTTTCTATTTTTCTTCTCATGCAATCTTAACTGATTATCAGGCTTGTATCCATGAAGGAAGTGAATCCCTCCTATTCTTTTTGATCTTCCAGAGCTTTATCATGTTCAAGGTTCGAGGAACTTTGATTTGTAAAATTCACTACAATGATGAGTACTCATACTTATATGGAGGTTTTCTCTAATGGCTAGTTCAATTATTAACATTCATCAGGGTGGTCTTAGTGATGGATACAAGAATCACATTGCCGAGAAGGGAATCCCGGATGATACATACACAGAAGATGGTCTTGCACTGTTTCGAGTTCAGGGTTCAGGACCTGAGAATATGCAGGCTATACAAGTTGAAGCAGTATGTTTCAACTTCTCATCTGCTATATTTTTCTTCAGAATTCAAAACTAGTATAATCTTGGTAGAGCCGATTTTTTGTGACTTTGATCTATCAGGTCGCATCGTCCTTGAACTCCTCCTACTGTTACATACTACATAGTGGTACCACTGTCTTCACATGGAATGGAAGCATGACTTCCCCAGATGACCAGGACCTTGTTGAGAGACAACTAGATCTAATAAAGGTATGGTTTATATTTTTAAGCAACTTTCCTAATCAGCACTCGATATAGGCTTGATAGAATGGGACAGAGTGTTTACATGTATTAAATATTGTGAATCACTTTAGAAACTGCTAGTTAAGTTTCCATTCATGTTAATGTCTAAAATGTTTGGGTCTCTTTTTTCCATTTTGTTGGTATCATGGTATCCTTTTAACATCTCCAGCCTGAGTTACAAACCAGGCCACAAAAGGAAGGAGCAGAGTTCGACCAGTTCTGGGAATTGCTTGGAGGAAAAGCCGAACACCCAAGCGAAAAGATCTCAAGAGTACCTGAAGGTGATCCTCATTTATTCTCATGCACATTCTCAAAAGGTATTGTTTACTCTCCCTAGCGGTCACATAAGGTTTTGTTTCATGGTCTCTTGATTCGAGAAACAAAAAATGTTAGTTTCTAATTCCCTATCTTTCTTCGTTGTCTTGGTTAATTTCCAATTGCACTCAAATCTGAAGGAACTCTGAAGGTGCGTATCTACTTTCAGCTACTTTCTAAACCCAGGCCATGTTTTATATTGTTTGAATTATTAATTGTGTGTTGGTTCTGATAGCTAGCAATTTATCTGCATCATCCGTTTGAGCCGAAGTTCTCTTGCAGGTGACAGAAATATATAACTTCACACAGGATGATTTGATGACTGAAGATATATTCATCCTAGATTGTCACTCAAATATCTTTGTTTGGGTGGGACAACAAGTTGATACCAAGAATAAATCACAGGCCTTAACAATCGGGAAGGTAAGACCGGACAGACTCCTAGTGGTTGGTCAGTTCAATATCTATCAGGAATTTGAATAGTTAGCGGTTGGTTTTGCCATATGTGCTCTTACCTTTCCTTCTGATGAACAGAAATTTATTGAGCACGATTTTCTATTCGAAAAACTATCTCGTGAAACTCCGATATACGTAGTCATGGAAGGGAGTGAGCCGCCCTTCTTCACACGTTTTTTTACATGGGACGCTGCCAAGTCCAATGTAAGTATCTTTGCTACTGCAAGAAAAGTGAACATGGTTGATCTACTTTGCAAGAGTTTAAGTGTTGACCTTTGCTTGTAGATGCATGGAAACTCGTTTCAAAGGAAACTAGATATAATGAAACATGGGGGAACACCGGTAGATGTAAGACTTCATTTTACTATTTCAAATCCCTTGAACTTTCTCTGTAGCCATGTTTTTAATAATCATAGTAAGCGTTCTGTTCTTTTAACAATTTAGTAATACACTTAACAAAACAATCGTCCGATGCTTAGAAACCCAAGCGGAGAGTAACCGCATTCGGAGGAAGGTCATCTAGCACGCCAGAAAAACCGCAGCGTTCGAGAAGTGTGTCCTTCAGCCCCGACCGACCTCGTGTGAGGGGCAGGTCTCCTGCCTTCAATAAACTTGCAGCTAATTTCGAGAATCCTAAAGATAGGAACTTTTCTACTCCGCCCCCAATGGTTTCAAAACTCTATACCAAATCCGGAACACAGGAGGTAGGGACAAAGTCCGCAGCTATAGCAGCTCTTACTCAAACTTTCGATCGTGCCAAAATTCGAGAGTCTCTCATGCCTAGAACCGTGAAAGGTACGCGTATTCCTTTAAAGTTTACGTTATATTTGCACCTCAAAATCAACGTACATTTTCTGTCACGATGAAGCGAGCCCGGCAGCATCGAAAGCAACAGCAGAGACTAACACAAAGGAGAGTTCCAGGAGCAGCAGACTAGAATCCCTCTCTATACAAGAAGGTATAAAAGAGGGTGAGAACGAAGACGATGGAGACGAGGAAGGTGTTCCGATATACCCTTACGAGCGTCTTAAAACAACATCAGAAGATCCCGTCACTGAAATAGATGTGACCAAGCGAGAGGTAACGATTCTAATATGGTATTGGCTGATACATTATATGATGGTTGCTTCTTATATTTTTTTTACATGGATATAACGCAGACTTACCTGTCATCTGCGGAGTTCAAGGAGAAGTTGGGGATGAAAAGGGCAGAATTCTATAAGTTGCCAAAGTGGAAACAGAACAAGCTCAAAATGGGAGTTCAACTGTTCTAACTCTCCTTGCTGCAGGTGGAAGAAGACTTGCTTGCAAATCTGTACAGATTCTTTCTTTCCATCAACAAACTCTTGCTAATTCTTTTTCTTTGTGGTCTGGGGTTTGACCAGACAGCCCATTAATTTTTTTTAAAAAAAATTGGTCTTTATAGAGCGATATTAGGTGATTGCAAATGCTGATAATTTAGGTAGTATTTAACAACCAAGGATGAAAAGTGTAAAGAGCAGTGTCTAATAAGTGAAAAAATCTACAACGTTCGTCGAGCGTAGATGAGCACAGTTAACGATTAATATCATTAAATTAATTTATAAAACGTTAAATTATAAAATACTAAACGTATAATTATAAATTAATTAAAAATTTAAATGTAATCTAATTAAAATACAATATTTATAAAACATTGGTTTTAGGGTAAACTATACCATTGATTAACTAACTATTTACCCTTTTTATCTTAATCATCGATTTTTCAATTTTATCAATCAGGTCACCTAATTATTTAAATCTTGTCAATCAAACCACCCGCTGCTAAATATTAATGGAGGAGATAGCGTGGCAATTAATAAAAAATTTATAATTACACAATTAGTCATCATTACTTACACATTCTATTAATTGAGTCCTAACTTTTAATTAATTGAATAAATTTAATCCTCAATCAGATGGTGACATGTGTCACTATGTGATTGGATATTTTTATTTAATTTAATAAATTTTCTATCCGATCAAATAGTGCCACGTGTCACCAATTGAATTAATAAAAAATAAATTGAATCAATAATTGTTGCTAGTGGGGTTTGAACCCAAGACGTGAGGAGAGTAAGCAAATGTCACAACCATTGGGCTACACCATTCAAATAACAAACATATCACGACATAATATATATAGTTAATGGCAATAAAAAAAGAATGGAAAATGACCTAATAAGAACTCTAACATTAAATAATTGAATAATACAATAATATGATATATATATATATATATATACACACAAATACTATAACTGGTTAATATGTGAATGTATTTATTTATATTTTAAATCATTTTAATGAAAAAATACAAATAAGAATAATTTAAATATATTATAATTGAAATCTAACGAAGAGTTTCGTTGACTTAGAATTTTCCTGATAGTTGAGGGCTTATCGTAGTAAGCATTTTAACTTATGCATTGACTTGTTTATATCTCGGTTAGAGTAAGAATTTTATATTTTATTATTTATTCATTATATATTTGAAGAAAATTTTAGGGGAAACTTTATTGAATTAGTCTATTTTAATATAGAGTTGTTAAATAAAATTAGAATCCGATCGACATTATAATATTTTAAAATATGAGATATGATACGTTTCAGTTCAATAAAATTAGAATAATGAAGACAATTTATTAATTTAAAATATGTCAAATGATACATTTCAATTATAACATATTAAATTCACTTTTATTTAATTTTTTACATTAAATGTGATTTAAAATATAAATAAAACATAATAATTTATTAATCAATTATAATATATGTTTATATATATTTTACATTTTCATACTATTCAATTATTTCATTTTTGAGTGTTTATAAGGTCATTTATTATCATTAACTATATTATAAGTTATATAGATTATGTTATATACACTAGACAAATTTAGTGATCCAATTTAGTGGTTAGGGCGCTCAGTTTTTCGGCTTGCATCCCAAATTCAAACCCCACTAGCAACGGTTATTGATTTAATTTATTTTCCATTCATTCAATTGGTGACATGTGGTACCATTTGATTGGATGAAAATTTTATTAAATAAAAAATATTAAAAAAATCCAATTACACAATGACAAATGTCATTATCATATTAAGGATTAAATTTATTGAATTAAATAAAGTTGGGACCAATTTAATAGAATATGTAAGTAATGAGGAATAAATGTGTAATTATACAAATTTTATTAATTGTCACGTTATCTCCTCCGTTAATATTTAACGACAGGTGACTTGATTGACAAGATTTAAATAATTATACGTTTATTACTTTATAAGTATACATTTATTACTTTATAATTTAATGTTTTATAAATTAATTTAATGATGCTCATCCGTCCTCGTCGAATGTGACAGCATCATCTGTAAGAACTAGTTCATTCCTCATTTGTATCTATTGGGTAAGATAAAATTTTCCTTTCGTATCTTACAGGATCAATAAATATTTGAAGAAGAACATATAAATGAATGTATAATACAAATAATTTTAATTGAACTGTGACATAACAATTAATTGTTGTTTCTTTAGGAGGAGTATTAACTAGTTTTATTGAACATTCGAAACTATTAAAATGGCATTAAGTACTTTTGTTGAGTCTTGGAAAACTAAAAGATACAAGAATATAAATATGATTAAAATAACAGTTTATTATAAGGCATCTTATATTGTGAGGTGTACAGTAAAAGAGTTGGAGGATTGAAAAAGAGAGGAAAGTAGGAAGAGAGTCATGTGAGGGGCATTTATTTAGTGTTGTTTGTAGGTTAGTGTGCACATGGGAAGAGAGGAGTTAGGGTGCAAAAAGGCAAAAAAAATCAAGCATGTGAGACCATGTGCTCATTATTCAACTCTCATGGACCCTCCCCTTTCCAAGATTTTCCCTTCGCAATGAACCTTTAATTTGGTAATTCACTCTCCATTTTGACTTATCACTTACTCATTTTATACTAATTCTTAATATAATCAGTCACATCTAATTTATTAATTAAATATTTCGGTTTAAATATTACATAAATTTATTATAAGATGATATTTCAATTTAATTTATCTATTTAATTAATATCAAATTTAATTATATATATCTTTGCATTATGGGCAAACTTAATATTGGATTTACTTCAACACAAATATATATATATATATGAAAGGAGAACAAAGTGTTTACCTTCAGCATCCGCAATCAGCTCCTCGGTTTTGGCCTTGCTCTCTCATTTTCCAGCACTCCAATTATTTAGAGGTTTGGTAAAGCAGTGAACCCTAAACTCAGACAGCTGTTTTATTTTATTGACTCAAAGAGTGTTAGGAGTCCCCTACATTTCCCCGGGGAGAATGATCAATTAAACTCCAACACCACTTCATCATTCACATATGAATTATCACACAAGTATTATGAAGATTAATGGTGATTTCAATTAGTTAAAAATTGTATTAACTAATTTTCTACATTTTAACACTTAATTAGATATTAAAAATTATTTTTTTTCTCAAAATTACATGACTTCTCACAGCCGTAAACCTATTTTATTTTATAATATTTTAATATTTAATTATTTATGGTAATGAATCAACATAATTTGTAACTCACATATGTAAGTCTATAAACATCGGCTAAGGACCAGTCCTTTTGTTTATAAATATAAGATACTCCTACATATCTGTACGACATCCAGAACCAGTTGTTTTCTTCTCCACAGCACAGTTAAAAGGTAATACAAAAACAATACCCTCTTCTCTCTCTCTCCACTTTAGGGTTAATCGAGTGGCTTTACATCTTTGGTTTAATAATTACCATGTACATTTAATTCCCATACAAACATTATTCTTTAACCTTATGTGTTTTGATTAATTACATATTCTTCTTCTTCTTGTTAACAGTGGCGTTATTTGTTTGGGATGGAAGGATACATGAAGGAAGGAAGACGTGTTTATCCTACGGAACCCCGGAAGATAATGCAAGCGAGGTTCGCAACGAAATACCTTAATTACTTGCTTCATGCGCTAACCAACATCGGTAAACCGGAATTGTCGTCGACGCTCGACTGTTGCGTCAATAAAGAAATAGATAAGATGGTGAGGTACGAAGTCGACATGGCCTTGGCATTATCAGCCGAAGGGTTCGCTTGGAGCCATGCCTTGAAACACAGGCTTCGACTAAACGTTAACAATAACAACCATGCTGGAAAATCCCAAAGTTATTTAGCTCATCACGATGATCACCGAACTAAAATGCCAGTAAACCATGAGCCGGCGACGAAGAAACTGAAAGGAAATCCTAAAAGAAGTGGAACGGAAGCGGCCGTCGAGGAGGAGGAGGAGGAGCGGTTGACGTATCTGAGGAAGCTTATACCAGGAGGGAGTGGTGAGATGATGGTGGATGATGAAATATTGCTAAGTGAGTTGGGAAGTTATGTTACATGTCTTGAGTTACAGGTGAATGTTCTTAGATCCATGCTTCAGTTGACGTAATTAGTCATCATTTCTTCTTTAGTTTCTTTACTTAATTTCTCCACTGACGCATATGAAAACAAGGTGGATCCCCAAGGCAAAATATATAATATAATAGTATAGTTTTTAGCACATGTTGCCTATATATATTATAATGCCATCACTAGTTTCTTAATGTCTCCAAGAAGTTTAAAAATATGTATATGTTTTAAAGGGGTTTTAACTAGTGCCGAGACCAACCATGCCTGTTGCTTACTGTTACTTTCTCTGCGCATATATCATCACTAGACTTCAGTCAATAATAAAAATGATTTAACTCTTTGTTTTCATTTAATTTTAAGGAAAATAATTAGAATAAAGTACACAGATTATCATTAAACGATATTAAAATATTTTTTGGTCACTGATGTTTTAAAATTATAGAACAGTTTTTAAACTTATTGCATGTAATACCTAGGTGATTCGATCCGATCTGGAGTGTCACATTAGGGTCACCCCAACGACCCAGACTGAAAATCCTGAAAAACTTAAATTTTTTGTTATCCATTTAAAACTACAAAATAATTTATAGATAAAATATAAGTTTAGAAAATCATTTATTTATTAAAAATAGAATTCAACAATATCCAGTAATAAAACAAGTTTCAGACTCGAATATAAAAACAGAATACAATCTTCATGCCCCCTAATTTCATGCACCGTAATCCGTAAGCAACGCCGGTGTAACTCTTTTACTGAAGTCGGTAAAAGTACAGAATCAAACTCTTTAACTTGAAATGATAAGTAATAGAATGAGCTTTGGAAAGCTCAGTAATACAAAACTACCAGATGAATGTAATAAGTCAGGTATATGGTAAAGCATAACTTCCTTAGTGGGATAAACATCATTAGATTCTAATGGTGAATTCAGATTCCAATATGTTGAGTTAATCGATTGACGAATATGGCCAAGAGGGGGTGAATTGGCAATTAAAATTTTGATAGAAGCTTTTGCAGAAAATTGAAAGAAATTTGCACATCGATTTAGAGTGGTTCGACTTTCTCAACCAAAGTCTACGTCCACTACCTAAGCTATCCACACTAAGGATTTTCCACAAATTTACTAATTTGTCTTTCTTTTGAGGACAAAGAGTAACCTTACAAACCCTCAAGAATTATACCCCAAATTCTTGAGAACACTCTCTCCCAAAGAGAACAATACAAATTTGCAAACTTACAAGGAAATCCTCACAAGGTAGATTGTTTGCACAATTCTAGAACAAAGAAAAGAACACTAAAAAATGAATACAATTGAGCACAATAAGTGTTCTTGAAAGCAAAATGAATATTGAATGAAAAATAGGCTTGAAATGCTCAAACTTGAGGTTTGATGCTTTCTCTTTGATTCTCTCTTGATTCTAGTTGTTTGATGTTTCTTGTTATTGATCAATGGCTTCTAAGCTTGCTTAAATACACCTTGAATCACTTCTGAACGTTGGGGATCATTAATGAAGATAATATTGCCGTTTTAGTGTGAAATCAATTAATAAAACAATTTGGAGCGTGGGGGGAATCGGTACCCCTCATAGGGAATCGGTTCCCTAAGTGTAAAATTCAAATATTTCGACCGTTGAACAGTGGGGGGAATCGGTACCCCCTGGAGGGGAATCGGTTCCCTCCGAGCATACTGGAATTCTCGAAGCCAAACCATTCAGGGGGGAATCGGTACCCCCTTGGGGGGAATCGGTTCCCTTTGAGCAATTTGAAATTTTTGGCTTTGAAACGGTTCGAAATACTTTGTAAAATTATTTTGAAATTGTTTTAAGATTAAAACTTAATCTTACACTTGAGTAAGGATTAAAAATGTCTTTTGAAAGATTTAGAGTAATGTTTTGATATTCGAATATACTTAGAAAATCTTTTTGGAAAATCTTAAAATTCATTTAACTTAATTTGTTATATCGAAATATCAAAATGTTTTCAACAATCTCCCCCTTTTTGATATAACAAAACATTTTAGTAATTTTAAGATTTTGAAATTAAGTTTTGAAATTACTCCCCCTTACTTTAACACTTCTCCTATTCTCTCATTCTCCCATTTAAAACATTTAACACTTCTCCCACCTTTTTGTTAAATCAAAAAGACATCTTAAAAGAATTTAAACAAGGTTTTCAAATCACTTAGACAATTTGATTATATATAGTTTAAGCTGCTAAGATCACAATCAAGAGAAACGTTAGCCATTAGTTTCATAATCAATATTCATAATTACTGTGACATGGCAAAATTGGTCATATATCTAACATGATGTAAATGATGCAATAATGAATAAATTTAACCATACCAAATATATAAGTTCAAACATCCAAACAAATCCAAAGTCTAACAATCCACAAAATGAAACATTCAAAAATATTCAAAATGTTGAAACAATAATCTTTTAGTTCAAAGTTCTAAAGCTAAACACAGAATCAAACATCCGGATCGGGAGGAGGAAAACAAGCTCGCATAGCGGCCATCTCATGTGAGAGTGCATCAATACGTTCATTCATCGAAGCGTTGTTTGTGCACATCTCTCGGATAATTTCTAATTGTTGAGCTCCCATTGTGGATAAATGAGACTCTATAGAAGTAAAGCGTGAATCCATGGTAGCATATCGGAAATCGAATGTCTCCATAAAAGATTGAAAATATGGAGGCATTTGATGCGTTTGTTGTGCTTACTCCTCGAGCTGCTCCTCGGGCTGTTCAGGCTCATCTTCGGCTTCATCGATGTCTCGTATTAATTGTTCAAGCTTGGGATTGTCGTCAGCTTCTGGTGGAGCTCGTGAAGAACTAGCTCCCGGAGTATTTTCAGAAGATCGAACCCATTCACCGGTTTCCTTATCCTTTATCCATCCTGCTATCGTTAAGGAAAGAAGATTAATTTGTTTATTTAGAGGAAATGAGGCATCTAGACCAACTCTGAGCCCGACTTTAGTAAAAAGATTACTCAAAATGCAACCGTAAACTAGAGATGAACATAGTTTCTTGTTAGGAACAAGATTTACGGTTTCAACAATTTCAGCAAAAATGATCTGAGGTAGGTTTATTTTAATACTGTTTTCGAAACAATGTAACCACCAAAGATCCAAGGCTCTAAGAGTAGAATAACGACCTCCGGCTGGTCGAAACCACCAAGAAATCATTAGATGAAGAAAATGTTCATGAGGGTCTAAGACACTCACACTATCCCTTCTTTTATAACGAGAACCTAAAATTTGTTTTTCATTTGAAATACCATCGTTATCTAATCCTAATGCCTTGGCTATGTAAGCCGAGTTAATATGTAAGAATTGTCCTAGGAGGTAGGAACGAACTTCTATGGTCTCAGTTTGAGCTCGGTTTTTGACACAAACGGCATTAGAATAAAAGATGCGAACAAGTTGATGGTAAACTATAGGTTCAAGGTCACAAAGTTTATCAAATTTGCACTCTTGTAAAAGAGGAAGATATTTAAAATTAATATCTAACATAGCTTGACGAGAAGGGATATGTTCTTCTCTAATTTTGTAAGAGTCGAAATATTGATAATACCAAAAACGATGATTTCTAGGACCAGGATGATTGAAGCATGAATTTTGGATAGTTATATTGGGATCAACTGGATTAGGATTAGGAATTGGAATTTCAGGAATAGGAGGAGGATTTGGAGGTGGATTTGGTTGACGGTGTGAGCGGCTAGATGATGACCTAGCACGTTTAGGATTAGACATGGTTTAGGAAATCGAAATAGAATGGATAACCTACAGTTTAGAAAACACCTGTATGCAATTCAATCAATCCCAAAACTCAATTGAGTCCTCAATATTTCAAAGTTCTCTAAATCAATCCTAATGGGTAAAGTTTTTGAAAACTATTGAAAAATAAGATTTTGAAAAACAATATATGTATAGTTTTCATAACAACAACATAATTCAATTAAAACACAATAATTTGAAAAACATTTTTTTTCAAAAATTTCAAAATTTTTGGAAAATTCTTGTGTTTTTGATGAAATTAGTTGTAATATCTAGTTTCTAATCACTAAACAATCAATGTCCGATCACTATTTCTATCTAGAACTCATTAAAACTAGTCCTATGTTCAAAATCAATGAAATAGAGAGTTTAGAAAAATTTACCTTGAAAGATGAGATTGAGTGGATTTTGATGTTGTTTGCACGATTTTAATGATGCTAGCAGGTTTATAAGATGATATTTGAAGAGAATTCTGATTAAAAATGTTGTTTTGAGGCAAAGTGGAGATATAGAGAGAGTAGAGGAGAAACGACGGTAATGAGATGAGAGTTTGAGCAAAATATGAGGTTCTGCCCGATAAAACCAGAACCCCATGGGGGTATCGATTCCCCTATGGGGGGAATCGGTTCCCCTTCAAAGGGGGAATCGGTTCCCTCATGGGGTTATTGATTCCCTCTGCACCAAAATACTTAAATCTGATTTTAAATACACAAAATGCTAAATTAATTTTCTCTAATGGTATTGACAACTCATATATTGAAAATTAATCACGTTCAAACAATCAAATTAATCTTTAAACTATATTTGAACATAAAGTTAATTTTCATCAAGAATTATAAACTCCCCCTAACTAATAGCAATGAATGCAATCAAAAATTACTATTCTAAGCATTTTTCATTTAGTCTTAAAAGTGCTAAAATTATTTTAAACACTAAGTGAAGATAGGTTGGTCAAACCTAATTCTCTCCTAAGTGTCCAAAATCTTTCCTTGTCTAAAGGTTTTGTAAAGATATCCGCTAATTGGTGCAAAGTATCAACAAATTCTAGAACTACATCTTCCTTAGTGACATTGTCTCTAATGAAGTGATGTCTTATTTCAATGTGCTTAGTTATAGAGTGTTGGATGGGATTTTTAGTGAGACAAATAGCACTAGTATTGTCACACTTGATAGGAATGGTACCAACTTCAATTCCACAATCAAAAAGTTGTTGTTTCATCCATAAAACTTGTGCACAACAACTACCAGCTGAAATGTATTCGGCTTCAGTGGTAGATAATGCAACACAATTTTGTTTCTTTGAAAACCAA